TACCATCATATCAGCTGCATCTAGAGATAATTTTACCTCTTCTTTGTCAATTTGGATACCTCATTTCCTTCTGTTGTCTATTGCTTTTGCGAAGACTTTGATATAGTATTGAATAGGAGAGGGGATAATGGGCATCCTTGCCTCGTTTGTGTTCTCAAATGGAAGACTTTTTATCTCTCTCCATTGTGAATAATGTTGGCTCTTGGTTTTGTGTATATACTTTTCACTACGTTGAGGAAATTCTCCTCTATTCCTATTCCATTGAGTGTTAAAAGGAATTATTTAAATAGTTGATAAAGGGATTTGATCTACCTTAAGGTGTAGGAGAAGTGAAGGTGAAGGACCAAAATAAAGAGTAAGGAAATTGAGAGTAAAGAAATGTCAAAATTCTGGAGACCATGATGAGGTAGAAAATCTGTTTTAGCAGAGAAATAGGTTACATGATGTTGTTACGTGCCTTCAAGTTGACCATAACTCAGTGACCCTGAGAACAGTGGATCAGAACCTTGCTCTGTATCCTCCTCACAGTCTTGGCCTTGTTCAAGCTCATTGTTGCAGTCCACTGTTGTTAGTCCATTTTGTTGCAGGTCTTCCTCTCTCAGGATTTTGCAGCCTGGTGTCGTTTTCCAGGGATTAGCCCCTTCTGACCACATGTCCATACAAAGTTTCACCATTTTCTCCTCTCAGCAGCACCCTGATTGTACTTCCTCCAAGACAGTTTTATTTGTTCTTTCGGTATTCATTACTGTTCTGTAATACCGCAATCCAAAAGCATCTATTCCTCTTCCTTCTTCCTTCTTTGTTGTCCAACTTTGAAATGCATCGAAAGAATTGAAAATGCCATGGCTTGGATTTAAGCACACTTTAGTCTTTAAACATGGTATAGTCTGCTGAAACCATCATAGTAAAAGATACCAAAGATAAAGCAGTTATGAGTGATAAGATTCAGAGTACAGATATAAATATGTTTTTTGAACTAAATGGAAATAATGATTAATGATTAGAAAATATCAAAAGAATGTGGCATTCAAGAATATTGATTCTCAAATCTCAGAAGTTATCAATCTTAAGACTTGCTGAAATAGGTCTTTAAAATGCACATTCCTGAACTGCTGTTGCCTGATTCTGAACGTCTGGTTTTGGGTTAATACCCAGGAATCCTCAATTTTAACAAGATGGACTTTACTAACAAAGCTTACTTAACTCTGTTCCTTTTCCCCTAAGCCAGAGTCCCTGTGTATCCTAAGTAGATTAGAGTTGGCTAGAGTTGGTAGCAACTTAGAGGTTTCAACACACATAGTGGCATCATGGAAGAAAGGCTGGTGATCTATAAAGATTACCATCAAGAAAATCCTGTGGAGCTGAGGTCTTCTTTGTAACACACAGAGTCACCATGATTGCAGTCAGCTCCAGAGCAAAAGACTCCTGTTCCCAAGCCAATTTATTTAAGATGTATTTTTCACTACAGTTTTTCTCCATCCATTAAGATTGCCTATCAGTCCAGTGGTAAGAATCTGTTTTCTTTACATCGTGATGCAACCCATATTGAAGGCTACATTCCCTAGTATTCTGCAACAAGTGCTTCAAATCCTCCTAACTTTCAGCAAGCAGGGTTGTGTCATCTGCGTAATACAGGTTATTGATGAGTCTCCCTCCAATCCTGATGCCACATTCGTCTTCATAGAGTCCAATTTCTTGAATAATTTGCTTAGCATATAGCTTTGAATAGGTGTGGAGAGAGTCTACAACCCTGATGCACTCCCTTAATTTTAAACCATGTATTGTTCCCTTTCTCTGTTTGCATAGCAGGCTGTGGGCTAAGTACAGGCTTCTCATGAGCACAATTAAGTGCTCTTCGACTCCCATTCTTCTCATTGTCAGCCACAACTTGTTTTGATCCACACAGTCAAATGCCTTTGAGCTGTAGTGTTGGAGAAGAGCACTGAACATCCCATGGATGGTCGAAAGAACAAACAAATATATCTTGGAGAGGATGCAAGGATGATGAAGCTTTGCCTCACATACTTCGGGCATGTTGCTAGGAGGGGCTATTTCTTGAAGGGGGATTTGATGCTTGGAAGGATGGAGGTCTGGTGAAGAAGAGACAGACCCTTGATCACGTGGATTGATGCAGGCCTCTAATGTGTCAAGAAGTGAGAATGGCACAGGATAAGACAGGGTTCAGATCTGTTGTTGATATGATCGCTTTGAGTCATACTGGACTGGATGGCAACTAATAACAATAACAACATTTATGACTTCATGTAACAAATGCATAATGATACCATTAGTTTAGTATTAAAAATTTAAATATTTTCTCATCTATGTATTTGGGTCTGGGCTGAATTTCAGTGGATTTGACATTGGATTCAGATAAACTGAAGTTGGATTCTCATTGCTGATAATATGGAACCAACTCATAACTGGGAGGTTTCAGAAACTGTAGATTCCATGGACATTGCCCATCTTTTCCCTGTGGAGTCCCTGTTGGAACTGCTCGAGAGGTGCTGCCTTTGAGTTAGTTAGCAGTGCAGCTCCCTACTGACTAGGTCACCAGAGCTCCCTTCTGTTGGCACAAAATAGTTTCACATTTGGGCTCTCAGGTAAGAGGAACAGACCAAAAGTGTTTCCTCTCAAGTTATTCCAGTGACCCAGAAACTCTGTCACCAACCTTAGAGACCTGTAACAGAATATCTTTTATGTGATTCTCCCAAAACATTACCCTTTCCACTCTCATTCTTTTGCAAATGCAGAAGAAAATATCACGTTCTCTTACAGTTTAGTGGACAGTATCCTCTCTGTGAATTGTTTTGCTGGATTTTCATTTGAAAAGATTGTCTCCTCTCAATTAAAACAAAGGAAAAGATATCATCTATGTGTATAATACCCTAACCTAATTATTTCATTAACAGTTTCCTCCTAAAATGTTTTCATAGGTTCTCAGGTATTATTAAATGAAAAACCAAGAAACAAGTTGTTCTCTCATGAGTTACTCCTTGTTCCTGGTGACCCAGAACTTGATGTCCTATCTTCAGGAGCTTGTAACAGAATATTCTTGATACATCTCTTCCAAAACAGCACCTTCTTTACTGCCATTGTGTTTCAAATGTGATAGACATCAAAGCACTACTTTACAATCAAGTGGACAGGGTATCTGAGAAATATCTTGGGTTTTTTAAAAGACTAAAACCAGTTGTTCTTGATTTGATTCTGATTCATGGAGACTTCATTTGTTCAGAGGAGAACTGCATTCCGTTAGCCTTTCAAAACTGTGAACTTTTGGAAACAGATGGTCAGGACTTTCTTCTGAGGTGCCTATGAGTGAATTCCAGCTTTCTGCTTAGTAGTAGAGCTTAACTGTTTTGTGCCACTCAGGAACTCCTTTTTAAAGGAATATTTAGAATTTTTTTTTCTAATGTAATACATCATTTTATTTCTTTTTTTTTATTTTATTTTTTAATTTTAATGAACTTTTACAGAGATTTTAGGTTTCCATTAATTCATTGTTGCACTTTCTCCCTGTCCACCCCTCCCACCCCAGTTCGCTCCTTTCTTTGAAAAGTAAAAGAAAAATTCTTTCATTGGTATACAATCCCCCTGCATTCCCCCACCGCCCCAAGTACACTACATTATGCAACCTTAATTGTTTCTTTTCTTAAAAGGAAAAAAAAATTTGAAAAGTATTTTCACTAAAATTTCTTTTTCTCTGTCTTTGAAGTTATACTGTTTTATATAGTTCTAAACATAGAACAATTGGCATGTTTTAAATTTTTTCCTATGGTTATGGTTTTAGTGATTTGATGCAGTTTCATCATATTGCTATATTATACTTGAAAATTCTTAATAAATTTCATTTCAGTCTGTTTGAAAAATTATCTTAGAACAAAATTTTTAATTACAGTAGATTAGCTAGATTAATAACCTTATTATTTCTTCAGTTCCTGATCCTGTTTTCTAATGACCTTCAGATCAGATGTGCCAGTGTCTAAGTGCTACTAGCACTGTATTAATTTACCAGTTTTACCAAAGTATTATTGGTATTGATTATTTCAACTTTTTTTTGAAAATTTTATAAAACCTGTGAAGAAAAGTGTAGTAGCAAAATATACTCACCATCTCATTACATAAACAAATATTGTTTTAATGCCTGTTTTAGGTCTCAGGAATCATGTTAAATACTTACAAACTATTGAGTTCATTTAATGTTATACAAATTACAGTAGGTAAATTCCAAATTGTTCCTATAGATAGATTAGGAAATAGGCCTCAGTGCTTACATCACTTTACTAAGATCATCTAATACTAGCTAAGAGGAAAGCCAAGGTGTAGTACATGAACCCAGAGCTGTCTTACTTGAGAACCTTGATCTTTTTAATTTTTCTTTTTAAACTCAAAAGGTAGCATCCATTTAAAACCCAAACATTTACAAACACGTTTTTTCATGCACATCTTTTGCAGCTTTCTTAAGCCTGTTCTACATCATGTGTATATACTGTTATACACATGTATTTTTACAGTCTTCATATAGTTCTTTTAATTGCCTATATTGTTTCTTTGTGATAAAATATCTAGTTTATTAAACAATTCCATTGTAGTGAGTAATTGGGCTTTTGGTTTTATTAGATGATGCTTCATTGATTTAAGTTATTTCATTTTAATTTCTTCCCCTGTAGTACATATCATGAAAGGTTGTATCTTTAAAAATTTAAAAAAAAAATACTTACCTTAGCTTCAAGATGTATATATGAAGTCTAAATTACAATTTTTGAATTCTGTTAATTTCCCAGTTCTAACAGTGATATTTATTGGTGGATCAAAAAAAAAACAAAACCCCAAACAACAAACATAGCTGATAAAGTGGATGTACTTTATATCAACATAAAATCAGAGCTTAGGCTTATTGTAAATTAAAAAAAACTTGTCTCTAACAGGAATAAGATTTTTTTCTTTTTAAATGAAATAAATAGACTCCTAACTTTTCAATGTCACTTCTTTTACAGAGATGCTGTTCAGTTAAATGTAATTGCTACACGACAGCTAATTCTCCTTGCACAGCAAATGAAGAACCTGGAAGTATTTACCCATGTGTCAACAGCATATGCATACTGCAATAGGAAGCATATTGATGAAGTAGTCTATCCACCTCCTGTTGATCCCAAGAAGCTGATTGATTCTTTAGAGTATGTCTTTTAAATGTGTGTGTGTGTGTGTGTGTGTGTATACACACATACATATATATATATTTGCCTTGATCCTAAAACATTGGCTCTAGGATTATCTCTTTATATTTGTCTCTTGACCTGTGTCACTTTCTCTGTTTACACAACTCACAGACATATGGATACATGCATTATCTGTTCCTTGAACCAGCAAATGTATTGTTTTGCTTTTATTATATAGATTAATAACTAAATAACCATTGTTGAAGTTAGTGTGGAAATTTCACTTTAATCAATATGATTTTTCAAAACTGGAAGAACACCTTTGAAAAAGTCATCCATGTCAGGGCCTTTCCTTCCAGGCGGTCAGGTTTAGCAGCTAAGAAATATCTGATACCTATGGAAACCAATAATCGCCTGTTTAATAGCAAAGTTCTAATTTTTTAAAATATTATCCATGATTATTTTGTGCCCACTGGAGTATATCTATGGAGGAACTTTGAATATTAGGAAATCAGAAGCCCCATTGTCCTTTTGTTTTGACTCTTAGTGTCATTGTTTTTTATTTTACTGAGGGCTGGGATTCTATTAAAAAATTGGACATTGCTTTCAACGTGGGTATGTCTACATACAGAAAATGCCTCTGTATGCAAGTTAACTCACTCATATACTACTTCCTAGAGTTGAGTTGGTTCTGACAGTCCATTATTCCTTCTGCAAATAAGCAGGCCAGGCCTTTTTCTTGGAGACAATAAGAAAATTTTCTTTATGGTAGGTTGCTAATTGAATTTTTATAGTATGGCTCAGTTTATTTTTATTGTCATAGCGTTTGCCAGTCTTACTAGTGAAACAATATAGTTTCAGAGCTTTACTTCAGATATTTAGATTACTAAACCTTTTGTACTAATTATAAATCTGTTAGTTGCCAATTTATATCATTTATCATTAACAAGTTCCTTTGTTAGGTTGATTATATACAAGTCTGTAATTTTTAACCTTCTTAGTCATCTATTTTGAAATTCCTTTGGACCTTAGGAAGAAAATGTATATACTATGTGATATGAAATAATCTTTGATAAATCATATCTGAACTGTGTGACTGTTTATATAAAATAATATTTTTTATAAAGGTCAAAATTTGTTCTGGTTAGTTTTGCTTAACATACCATTTAATTTGTGATAGAACTCTCAATTTTCAGAGTTGGTTAGTTATAAAAAATTGTCCATAAGGAATGATAGACCTATAGTTGAAGCTGACCCACTGAATGGTCAGCTGTGTGTTAGTTCTGACTCAACAGTAGCCAACAATGAGAGTTGATACTTAATGAAAATGTGACTAACTTATTTTTTAGTAAAAGTAATTGTCAAATTATTTGAATCAAAGCGCAAGATATACTTGAATGTACAAAGTACAGTTAAATGGATTTTTGTTTTAGTAAAATATTTAGAAATATTTCATATGCAATTTCTTTCTTTACCAGGTGGATGGATGATGGCCTAGTAAAGGATATAACCCCAAAACTGATAGGAGACAGACCTAATACATACATATATACAAAAGCATTGGCAGAGTATGTTGTACAACAAGAGGGAGCAAAGCTAAATGTGGCAATTGTAAGGCCATCAATTGTTGGTGCCAGTTGGAAAGAACCTTTTCCAGTAAGTTGTTTAGAAATCTTAGTGAATAATCAGATTTTCAAATTGAAATTAAGAGACATGGTTACTTATTAAATGTGGTATGCTATGACAAAACTCTTTTCCAATCGTTGGAAGAGATATTGGTACTTTTGTTTCTAATGTGATGGTGGATACATAGAAATAAAGATTAACATTAAAAAGCAAATATCCCTTCTAATTGGAAATTAAATCAAAACAGACCATTCCTTAAGAGTTTTGTGATTGACAAGATACTGATATGACACAGTGATATTTATTGACCTTTAAGATTGTTTACCAGTTAATTCCTTTGCTATTGAGAAGGAAATAGAGATGAGAATATTCAGTTTTATTTGAATTACTAAAAGAGCTCTTGTGGCTTAGTGGTAAGGAATTGTGCTGCCAATCCAAGGTACATGGTTCAAATCCATCGGCTGCTCCCTGAGAGAAAGATGAGCAGTCTTCTCCTGTGCAGTTTGCTGCCTCTGAAAACCCTTTGGAGGGTAGGCCAAAGTCAGAAAGTATATAGCAACAACAAGAAAGCATCAAAAGAGACAGCCCCTTTAAAAGGGGTGCTTCTGCACAGGTCACAACTAATAAGAAAGATACAGGATATTGCTGTGCTATCTTTATGTTATATACTGTATTGTTTGTTTAAAAGCGTATGATTCTTTTGTGAGTATTTGGAATAAGAAACACATGAGATAAAAACTTAGAACAGCTAAATTGATTTAGGAAAAACCCTGGTCTAGTGTAATGGTAGTGAGTGATTGCATGGCTTTAGTTCCTTTAATAATTATCTATTTTACTTTGTTTTATGCAGTAATTTTGAAGGTGTACTATATACCTAGTCTCAGGATGCTGCATCAGGAAATTGCAAAAATCAATTAAACCAACTTAATTTAGCAAAAGTATTTGACAGATAATATATAAACTTTTATTCAGATCTCTGTAGAGAGTTAATGAAAGTAAATAGTTTTGAAACTAATTTTACTTGGTTATTTGAGAACCCAGAAGAAAAGCCCTCTTTGGTGCTGAGAGAAATAATTTGCCTTGATTCTATCTAATCTGATTTTAAATCTTAGAAAAAATTTATAAAGTATGTCTTTGGTATTACAGATTTCAAATAATAAGTTTCTAGTTTCATAATGTATCTAAGCTTCTCTCCCCCCATCCCTTTCTTTTATTAAATTTTTGATACTAGGGATGGATCGATAACTTTAATGGACCAAGTGGTCTCTTTATTGCGGTAAGCAAACCTTTTTATTTATTTAATGTTTTATATATTTTGCTGTTTATGTATATGTGTACACATACACATACTCCACTCTGACTTATATATCCTAAAATCTTGTTTTTAATTTCAACAAAGGCAGGGAAAGGACTCCTTCGAACAATGCGTGCCTCCAACAATGCCCTTGCAGATCTTGTTCCTGTAGATGTAGTTGTCAACACGAGTCTTGCGGCAGCCTGGTATTCCGGAGTTAATAGGTATATGAGATGACATTGTTTGTTAAATCTCTAGTAATTGAGAATGTAAAACAGAACTACTGACTAATGTTAATCCCTCAGTTCTGATGTTGCCATATAGCTGATAGATAGATAGATAGATAGATAGATAGATAGATAGATAGATAGATAGATAGATAGATAGATAAAGTTATATATTTATGTATTTTAGGGAGCACCATTTCCAGGTGCAGAAGTTGATACATTCCAGGTGATAGCAAGTGTTCTCATCAGTAGTTCTTAGGTGCAGTTGATTTGAGTATAACTCACAGTAGATCTGAACCCTGTTACACCATTTGCCATCCTCATCATCTCTTGACACACTTGAGCCCATTGCTGTAGTCACTGTGTTAATTCATCTCGTTGCGGGTCTTCCTTTCTTTTCATTGACGTTCCATGTACCAAACTGAAACCAAACTCAATTCTGAATCAAAGTGACCCTGTAGGACACAGTAGAACCACCCTATAGAGTCTCTGAGACTGTAAATCTTTAAGGGTGCATAAATTCATTAGTGATCATAAAAAGAAATCTACCCTTTCCAAAGATTTATTTTTAATTCTGTACTGTAAAACTTGGCATATATAAAAAAATCAAAATTCACAGAGAATTATTAACATATCTAAGACATGGCGCCCTGGAACAGTTTTAACCAGGGGGACCTTTATTTTAAAAGAGAGGAGTAGTGTTTTATGTTAAAACGTAAAATTTTACATTCTCAGAAACTTTTTAAATTTCATGTAACTGGTAAACTATTCTTATTTTAAAAGTTAATATTTTATCTTTTAAAAAAAGGAGAAAGATGATTTTAGACTGTTAATTCTGCCATAATTTTCTTTGAACTAGAACTTCTAAAAACAGAAAGCAGATAGGAAGACCTGAGATCATTTGTTGTTTTGTTCTTTTCTTTACATTTAAAACAAAGCATTCCTGCTACTAAGGAAGAAAAATGTATTTTGGGGTGGGTGGCAGGAGACATATTTGGATTTTTTATAAATAATTATTTAAGGAAATAAGTAAAAGGAGTTATAAATAGTTATTCAAACAAAAATAATCCTTTAAGAGCAATTTAAAAAAGAATCATTTTTTCCTATTTGGTTATTACATAGAATTAGAGGGGGAGTAGTAAGCTTGGCCTCTTTATGTCTTTCATTGTTCTGTTCTTTGTCTTTTTAGACCAAGGAACATCATGGTGTATAATTGTACAACCGGCAGTACTAATCCTTTCCACTGGGGTGAAGTTGGTATGATTTTACCTGTGTTTTTGAATGTTAGAATAAACCTTAACTTAAAAATATCCACCAAGTTTTTACTTTGGAATAATAACTCATGAGACATCTAGGCTTGTGAGCTGCCTATTTGTTGTTATTTTAATTGCCAGCTTAGCAGTAATATCTGCCAGTATTGCCTTAGGAGTCTGAGTAGTTTTCCACAAATTTCAAATACCTTGCTATACATTTCCACCCCTCCATTTTTTTGACCCTTGCTTTCTTTTCTGCTGATATCTGAAGCCATACTTTTAAATACCTTTGGCATGGAAGTGGTGCTACGGCTTTTTCCTCTCTCATGGGCACCATTAGTCCTGTTACTGATAAGCAATAGAATTTCAGCTATGAGAACTCAGAAGTATCAGAAGATAGCAAGTAGACTTGAGTGATCATAAACACATTAGTAAATAGGGTATATTATGCACAAATACTTATGTTACTTTTATAAATATTACTTAAATTCACAGTGCATATGATACAACAGCCTACTGATTCTAAAATAGAAATAGAATGGCTGAAGTCCAGTTACATGGGATTATTTTTAAGTTGTTCTGTTATTCTGACCTAGTGTTTTTCCCTGGCATTTTAAAATTTGGCCATTAGATCATAGGAAAAAAAATAAAAATCTAGATTCATTAATATTTTATGGTAATTGCTTAAAATATTTGAAGCACTTTAAATTAGTTGTCATCTTTATTTTAAAGTGTATAAAAATCAAGTTGAGCATAAGTTTTAGTAAATATTGCAATATCTATTACTTTAGTATTACTATGGATGATAATAGATTGGATTGAATGTTGACATTGTGTAGCCTAAATAAATTGTAGCAGAAGCTGATGTTGGGTTGTTTTAAGCTTATTGGTATATGTTAATTTGAGCAATTTAATCATTCTTAAGCAAAAGATGATGATTTTCCTTTTCTTTTTTAAGTAAGTACGGTAATAATCTGGAAAGAGGAACAGAAAGAAAGAAGCTATCGTGAGAGGTGAAATATATAGAAAGTGACATTGTAAACTGGCATAGGTAAAACCTTAAAAAGATTTGAAGAGTAAATTTTAGCAAAAATTTTATAATTGCTAAGGAGATTTTTAATTAAAATTTATAAATAGTGGCAGTTCTAAACCCACTTCAGTTCAGCAGTCTAATGTCCATATTCTTTTAGCTACCCTGGAGAGTAGAAAAGTTAGTATTTTTAATGAGTGAACTCTGACATCTTTGGTAGTATATTTTGCATTGTAAAACATGATTTTCTTTTCCAAAACTTGATTACATGGTTATTATCAAAGCTGTTACACAACTTTTCTTCTTCAGAATACCATGTAATTTCCACTTTCAAGAGGAATCCTCTCGAACAGGCCTTCAGACGGCCCAATGTAAATCTAACCTCCAATCACCTTTTATATCATTACTGGATTGCTGTAAGCCATAAGGCCCCAGCATTCCTGTATGATATCTACCTCAGGATGACTGGAAGAAGCCCAAGGTAATGGTGACTAGCTCTGTCTTTCCTGTTCCTCTGACTGTTAAACAACCCATGCTTACACTAAAATGCATATTAACTTTGTATTTGTTTATGTTTATAATAAGGCTTATTGGCCTTTTGTGAATGAGAAGACTTGAATTAAAGACTTTGTCAGAAAAGAAAAGGTAGTTTTGTAAGTCACTCTAATTTGTTCTAAAGTTTGGATGAGAAATTACTGTCATGTTTTCGATTCTAGGTCTAATTTTCTTTTTTTTCCCTGAATTACAAATAACATTCAAAATGCTTTGACGCTTATTTTCCCTACAGGATATTATTTAAATCATTTCTTCAAGATGAATCCTTTAAACCAAGTACTCAGGCGCCCCAATATTAAGTTGTATTCCAACAACCTATTGCTTCATTATTGGAAGGGTGTCAGACATACAGTGCCTGCATTATTGCTCGATCTTGCACTCAGGTTGACAGGTCAGAAGCCGTGGTAAGAAGAATAGCAGTAAATACACTATGTATTGGTAAGGTGGTGGAAGCTTGCTGGAGAGACGAAACGTCGCTAGCATGAGCTTTACCTTTAGATTTACTAACCTAATAAATCACAATCACAATCAAGATGTCAGGACATTTCTTAAGAGTTGGGGATTTCTTAAGAGTTCGGAGAACACTGTGTGTCTCATTTTATTAAGCTATTGGTTTTTCAAAATCCCATGATACGGAAATGACCAACATCAGGGTTGTCATTGTTATTATAAGCTGAAATTGAGCCCTTTTCCTCTCCCCCTTAAAAACCTAGGGGTAAGGTGTTATAGGGGATTAAGGGTAAAATATTTTTGCTTAAAGTGGATGATGTAGTTTTTATATGGAAAAAAACCCCAACCAACAGGATACTTGTAGAAAATTAATTACCAAAATATATCAGCTGCCCATTCAGCTTATAATAAGATAATTACAGTTTTAAACTAATTTTCTAGACTGAGAATCACATAATTTTTTAAAAAGGAAAAATTTCTGTTTTCTTATAGTTATTTTAGCATTTCTTCCTCCTTTTTTATTTTCATGTAACCCTAATAAATTTAAATAGTATTCTTTAGCTTCATTTTACCCCATGATCACAGCAAAATGTATTGGAAACAATTTTTTAAATTAACATTACATTAAAGCCTTTGATTGGACAGTTCAGGATTTGTGTATGTATGTAAAAAGAAGATGCTGATTCCAGAACTTTGATCAACTATTCATAATATAAAAGTGTGACGTATCTTCCAGTCTCAGTGCATCAGGACCACAATTAGTTGTGGGAATTTTCTGTTCCTAGCTCTATGTGTTAAATATTGAAATATGTAAAATGTATTGATTGAGTTGAAGAGGTTTAGAACAGGTATCTCAAAATTGTGTTTGTGTATTTCTAGAATAACTTGCAAAATGCAGTTTTTGACACTTGACAATAAATTTTTATGACTGCATAGTAGATGTGAGTTTATGAATTAAAATATTACATATTATCTTGACAAATTTGTTGTAATTTAGAGCAAAATAGTAAAAACTAGGTCAAAAAAGAAAAATTTATCTCAGTTTCTTACATAGGGAAGAAGGACATGGTAAAGCCTAAAAATAGTCAATAGCCAGAGTTTGTAAATTATTCAGAGTAAATTTTGCATAAGTAGATTGTATCAAGTTTAGTGATTTAAAATAGCAGTCATTGGTCATTATTTCTTTTTACTGTTTTTCTCAAGATTAGGGATTTAGAACTGTCTTCAGAACTTTTCCTGTGGTTGTAGTCAGATGGAGGCTAGACCTTAAAGAGTTGGAAAATAGGGACTTAGAGCAGTTGGAGAGGACAGTTGTCCAAGCATTGTTATTTCATAGAGCCACAGGATGTCTCTAGTCTCTTTGTATAGACTCTTGGCAGCTTTAGGAAAATGAAGCCTCTTACATAGTGAACGATGACTTCAAGAGGAAGTATTTCACCAAGCAGGGTAGACACTATATTACTTTTTTGATTTAGCTACAGAAGTTTTGCAGCATCACTTCCACTTCATTCTTTTTGTTAGAAATTAGTGCCAAGCCATGCCATATTCTAGAAGAGGTATAGACATAATCTCTTGATGTTGGAAGGGTTAAAATAATTTAAATAAGTGAGAAGGAGGATACTACTGTGCTTTGAGAAAGTGCACTTTGCTATATAGCCAGCCTTCTAATCTGAACAATTTCTATTCTTCCCTATAGAAAATATACTTCTTTTTCCACAAAGACCCATATGACATTATTTTGGGTTTTGCAGTTTAAGAGTAGTTAGGTACAGAGTAATAGTCTTAAATACTAATAATAATATAATTAATAATATTAACCATAATCATGTTCCAAAGTTAAATTGAGATGGTACATAGCAGTCATTGTTCCATAACAGTTCTGAAATTCATCCAGGTTCAAATTGACAGTTTCTTAATTAGGGCTTGTACTATGCTTTGGAAGTTCTCTGCGATTCTTAGCTCTTTTTTGGGGGGGGAGGGTGACCCTTTCAGTCATCTTTACTTTTCCATTAAGAAATGGCCTGTGTTTATGTTGAGTGACCTTAGCCTAGGTCTTTCTCATAAAGTGTTGAGAGTAAAGGTTGACAGACTTTTTTTCCAAGGGCCATATAGTAAATATTTTCAGCTTTGTAGACCATGTGGTTTCTTTCAACAACACTGGTCATTAGTGCTGTTATAGTGTTAAAGCAACAGTAGACATTCTGTGAAAATGAGCATGACTGTGTTCCAGTAAAACTTTACTTACAAAAACACGTAGTGGACTGGATTTGGCTCTAAGGCTGTGGTTTATTGAACCCTGGCCCAGATTCCCCCCCCCCCTCCATTTTATTCTGTCTCTGACCTTTAAGTGCAAAATGATACAATTCTTTTGAAAATTGAATGGATTTCCTTTATAACCATCTTAAAAGATTCTATACCATTAGACCCATAGCTATATCTACAGATCTCTTTGGGATACGGCTTTCTCTGTCTTGGACACCTTATGGAGTTGCTGTGAGACAACATCTCTTCACTCTTTACTCTTAAATCCTACTTTTAAGGAATAAGATTCCTATGAGACTTGTCCTTAAGAGCTAGAGAGAACCTTCATTCGACCTGAAAGATGCTATGAGATAATACCTAAGATGATTCTGAGGTCTTAACACAGATTTAATATATGATTATAAGCCATTTATTAAAAGAACTTTTATTAGGCATTTTACAGTTCCCAAAATTCTACTCTATCTAAGGTATTGTCTAGATCATCTTTGTTCTCTCTTGTTTTTACTGTGGGAAACCACTCGACACTTTCCATACTGGCTGGAAACCTTAAGTAGTTACAGTTCTGCCATCCATTAATATAGGCAGTAGGTCTTTCTTCTCCCAGCAGTGTTGTTGTAAGGTGCTATAAAGCTAACTATGAATCATAGCTATGTACAACAGTAAGAAACCTTACCTGAGTCTGTGACAACCTTATAATTGCTGTTGTACTTCGGACCCTGGTTGCAGCCCTGAGTTTCAGTCTTTCTAGTTGAAAGTCTTTTTCTTTTTCATTGACCCTCTGCAGTATCCTTTTGTTCTGTTTGAATGACTGCTGCTTAGTCTTTCTATAAGTTCCACATGAGTACGACTAGGAAATCTAGAATTCCCATTCTTCTTAATGTTATCAGTTGTAGTTGTTGTTGTTGTTGTTAGGTGCCATTGAGTTGAGCATGGCTCATAGTGACCCTATTAAAAGATCTGTACCCTGTTCAATCCTGTGTCATTTTCACACTTCCTGACACACTAGAGCTCATTTAAAAAATATTGTCAGTAATTTAATCCACACTCTCAAATGTATTGCTCAATCAGTAAAGCACAGGTAAACATTTCTGGTATTTTATGTTTTTAGTTAAGATCCATTTGCTCTTAACGAGATTAGATCTCTTCCATGATTGTTATGTCAGGACTGATACCTTCCATTCCATGTTCTCTTCTGAATCCAGCTTGAATGTCTGGAAGTTCTTTGTTCTAGCCATTTTAAAACTATTTTTACCAAGATTTTTCTTTAATTTGTTGTTTTTGTATTCTGATGTCTCCTCTTTTTTGGAATCGGTGCAGTTGGTTGACCAAATTTCTTGGTAATAGATAAGTGAACACAATCAGTGTTGCCTGTTTGTTGAAACATCTCACTTGGTATTCTGCCTTTTCATCTTTGCCTTCAGTGAAGCTTGGACGACTTCTTTTGTTCCGTTGATTTTTTTTCATGCTTATCTCTTGAAATGGTTGGCATCAACCCGTTCTTTTTGGTACAGTGACTGTAATCTTTCTATCTTCTAATTGCTTTCTGCGTTATTCCTTATTTGCCCATAGAATTCTTCACTGTTGCAACAAGAGGCTTTAATTTGTCTTCTGTTATATTTTGAGAAATTCTGAGTGTACTCACCGTTACAACTTGAGGCTTACTTATTTTCTTTAGCTGTTCCAGCTCTTTTCATTTTCTTTTGAGTGCCTTCCAACCTAAGTGCTCCTTTCTGCCACTAAGGAGCTTTGGTGATACAGGAGTTGCATTACCAACCCAAAGGCACATGTTTTTACTCTACCAGCTGCTCCCAGTGAGAAAGATGGAAAAACACTTGTTTCAAATCTGCCAGCTGCTTTGAGGGAGAACAATCTTTTATTGTGCAATTTACAGTTTTTGAAAACTTGCTGGAGGGTCAGATATGAGTCAGCTCTTATTCAACAACACATAGCAACAACAACATTAAACAATATCCTGCTGTCCATAGCTTTTCAGCAACAAATTTCAAGAGTGGATACCCAAGCCTGCTTCCTAGGTTGTCTGAAAATACTGCTAAAACCTGTCCTTTATAGGTGACTCTGATGGTATTTGAAATACTGGTGGTATAACTTCCAGCATCATATTGACAGACCAGCCACTACAGTATGCACTACAGTATGGCCAAGTAACAGATGGCAGTTTGTTGTCTTTCAGTATCTTCTCTGTACTTTCCCAACCATATCTTTCTCATTTGCGTTTCCTGTCACCAATGCTTCTTCAGAATTCTTTAGTCTTCTATTAACATTGTCTTCATGGTCCTTCCAGGTTATCCTAATGGTCTCCTCAAGGCCCTTGTATGTTATTTATACTATCTAGTACAAAAGTCATTGCTGTGCTAGGTGCCTTGAGTCTACTCATACCCATTGTGACCTTTTGTAAAAGACATCGAAACTCTGCTCCGTCTAGTACTGTCCTCACAATCTCTACTGTGTTTAAGACCATTGTTGTTATTATAGTCACAGTGTCAGTCCATTGTGTTGAGGGCCTTCTTCTCGTCTGACCTTCCAGCTCTCCCAAGAATTATGTCTTTTCTAAGAAATGCTCAAAGTGAGTGAGATGAAGTCGTTCCATCCTTACCTCAAAGGACCACTCTGGCCGCACTCTTCCGAACACAGTTTTATTTGTTCTTTTAGCAGTTCGTGTTATGTTTGGTACTCCTTGCCAACATCACAGTTCAAAGGCATTAATTTTAATTCTTCTTTGGTCTTCCTTGTTCTTTGCCAACGCTGACAAGAATATAAATGAGCTAAAGTCATTACTGTGTACTAGATTTTTATTGTAACACTACCCTAGGACCAATACTAGGATCTGTTTCTTTTATCATTGCTGCTTAACAAACTCCTAAGACAATCGTATTTATCTGTCACGGCTTACTGTTGCTTACACATTTTAGGGCTTGTCTAGATGGTTCCAGCTTAGAATCTTACAAGGGCATGGAATATGGTACAGTATGTTAGGAGTAAAGATGTGTAGGATAGTTGGGTGGACAGGCATCTTTCTTTCTGCCTGTAGTATCAGCCTTTCCATGTGTTCTCCCACATGGACCAGTTTTGGCTTCCTCACAGCATGCCAACCTCAGGGGGAGTTGGAGAGCATACGTGGCAACTGAAGGCTTCAAAGGTGAGTATTCAAGTGAACAAGGCAGAACGCTCCATCTCCTTTTCTGATGTAGCTATATGGCATTTATAGTCTTCCTGACATTCTGTTGGTTACAAAAGACCTCTGTATCTTGACAGGAAAATGGTTAAGATGAAATTGTAGTATATCAAATAAAGGATGGGAAGTACTATTGGAAACATCTTTGGAAATTTATATCTACCTCAAATTGGGCGTCACAAGTAAAGAATCTTCTTGCTTGAGTTTTGTCCTTTATGAAGCCAGTTTTTTAAGTCTTCAAGTAGCAATGGTCTCTAAGAGCTTATAATCTAAAAGCAATAGGGACATAAGCAGTTTTAATTTTGACAGTTTATAAATGTTAGCTACAGAGTTTTAAAATTTATCTTTAAATTTTTATAGAATTTGTGTAGATAAATACTGTATAGAGTACTAGACTTTATACTGTGTTGATAGCCTTACTAAAATACTTGCATTTATGATTTTAAATTTTACTTACTTTCATTTGAATGAAAGGTTGTGAATTATATGGCTTTCCAGGATACCATTAATAGACATTTTGTTATATAACATTAATTACTATCCAATATTTTGTTGTTGGTGTGGTGTTGAGACAGAACCAACTCAGCCGATCCTGTAGTGAGTTTTCTGAAGCTGTAAATCACATGAGAGGAGATTGCCCATCTTGCTCCTGCAGAGCAGCTGATGAATTCTAACTGCCTGCCTTACAATTGGCAGCGTGACTCCTTACCACTGTGGCATCAGAGCTCCCTCTAATTAGTTGATTATAACATTTTATTAATCCCTTACTGTAATACTTTCAAATTAATATGTTTTTCAGGATGTCTATTTTATACTTTATTTTCTGAGTGGCAGCTAGATAAAAACTAGTCTACTGTATCTCAACATAATTATAAAAAGTCTTACTGGATTTCTGGTTAGTAACCACTGGGAATTAGGATGCATGATGGTGTTACATGTGGAAGCAGGATAAATGATTCATTTTAGCATTTAAAATATAGTAGACCTTTCATTACCATTAAAAACCAAGACATATCTTGGCTTAACTCTTGAGCTTAACTTCTCTAAACCTGATATTTTTCATCTGTGGTTCTCAACCAGGGCCCCTTGTGGCACAATGGTTAAAGACCTTGACTGCTAACCAAAAGGTCAGAGCTGTTAACCTGCCATTCTGCAGGAGAAAGACATGTCAGTCATCTTTGGAAAAATTTACAGTTTTGGAAACTCTTAAGAGCAGTTCTCCTCTGTCTTCTGGTAATTCTGTGAGATGGAATGGTCTAAACAGCCTTGGGTGGGTTTTGATTCTCAGCTTGAACAATTTTGGCACCTAGTTAATGTTCAACAGTGTTTAGAGATACTGTTATCAAAAGCGGAAAAAAAGCTACCACATGACACCTGATAATAAGACGCTTATAATATCATCAGGGGGAATTCTGAATTAAGTGTCCATTGAAATCTTGCTGTACTCAAAAGTACTAGTTGCCCCCCCCCCCCCCCGGTGTTAACATAATTTGAAAAAAAAAAAAAAAAGGTTGGAACATACATGGCAGAATAGTAACAAACATCTACCCTTGTGGTGATCTTAATGAATGCATGATAGTGTGTAATGCTTATTTTCAACCTCCATAGTACACACTGCAAAGTACTTCGATTGCCTGATAATCTTTAAAATGTAATCTTTAAATTTTAACACCTTTAACCTTTTGAATTTCTCTTCATTTTTTTATTGTAATTCTATTTTGAATGATTATTTTTAGGATAATTTTGTCACTTAAATATTTTAAGACTAGGTAAAAATGATCAGTGAAAAAAAATTAGGAAGAAAAACTTTTATATGTTGGAAAAGCACATTAACAAAGTCTGTGTGTATTGGTTGACTGATATTATATGTTGATTTTTTTTACAAATTTATAAATTTGTTACATCTTTTTTATTGACTTTAGAAGGAATTCCTGTAATTTCCCCCTTTCCAAAAGCAGCATGTCTTTCTTCACCCCAAGTACTTTCTATCTGTGTGAACTATTCATGTCCAGTTAGAGCCTTTGACATCCTTTTCATGTTTCATGAAGCTTTTATTATATAATTTATTGTTTGAATTACGGTTTTTCGGTACATATTTCATATTGCCTGATACTCTCACAGTATTTTAGATTTACGATTTCTTTCTTATTGAGTTGAACATGGCATCAGAATTGCTTAGCTCAAGTTTACTGTTTTGATTTTTCTCCCTTTATTTCTAATGTCCGGCTTTAATTTTGGGACTTGCTAAGCTATATATAATGCCATTCCTTATTGTCGAAATAGTTATGGAATTATTTTAAGTGCTTCTTAAAAAATATTCTTCTTTTTATCTGAAGTTGAATTTTTTGTTTCAAAAATTATTTTATCTTCTCTTTCCTTAATCATTGGTAATGATGTTAATGTTATGATATCAATGACTTACGTTATGGCATGATAAATAAACTAGCAGATTTAAAGATGAAGGACCTTGCCCTTTCAAAATGAAGCAAACAAGCAAAATATGTTGACCTCTTATTTTTATAAGGATGAATATTGGCAACATGCAGGAAAATCAAGTGTTTGTCTGTTGCAGAAGTTTCACTCTGAGTCATTGAAATCATGGCACATCTAGATGACCATAAGTGGCATCAGTGTTAAGATGAAAGTTATTATGGTTATTTAAAAGATAGAATTGACTAAATGGCAAACGAATATTTCTGTATACTTTGCTTCAGTGATACTGAGGAGTTGGAATTGTAATGCTACACACTATATAATGAATTTTCAGAAAATATTTGTAAATGCAAACCAATTTCTTCTGGAATTTCATGTAAAATTTGACCTTGTAAATAGAATATTCTTTGCAAATTCATTTCATATATCAGCAGAACTATTTAGAGAACATTAAATTCATTTGCAGCTGCTTTGATTTTTCTTTTTGAACTTTTCAAATATTGTTCTAAGGTGCAGAAATATTCTTAGTCCCTGCTGGTTTTGTATACTTAAAATTCAATAATTATTTTGATTTTTATATGTATATTGGTGGTTACTAGTATCTTGGGTGGTGGTAAAATGTTCTCTAATCTATGCAATATATGGATCTGTCAATTTTTCTTATAATGCAGGATGATGAAAGCAATAACTCGCCTTCACAAAGCTATGATGTTTCTTGAGTATTTCACAAGTAACTCTTGGGTTTGGAATACTGACAATGTCACTATGTTAATGAACCAACTAAACCCAGAAGATAAAAAGGCAAGTATTTTCCATAAGCAGTGTACTGGCTAGAGACATAATTATAGATCTGTTCCACAACCATTATACATACAGTAAGGGATCTCTGACTGCCTAGTGGAAATAAATTGCACTGTCACGTCTAAGGCATGTGGTTCACATCTACAAGTTGCTGTGAGACAGGAAAATGGGCAGTCTTCTCCCATGTGAGACAGCCTCTGAAAACCCATTGGACAGTCAGCTATGAGTCAGTTCGGATTTGCCAGCAAACAACAAATTGGATAGTTAGAAAGTCAGTGATTATTTATATTCACTCCTTAAAGTGTCAGTCATATTTGTTGCTGCTAACTTAGTTTCTCTCCATTAAGATTTGTAGTGTAAGTATCAAGTGACAAAAGTCTCTTCAGAACACTAATGTTGGTTTAAAAGAGAAGTTTGAAACTTGCACACATTTTCCTCGCAGCCACATTTTCTCTGAATTTTGAGAAAACTTTTAATCTGAAATTATTTTTCGAATATTCTTGTACTGTATATCATGTATATTTTCCCCTCTGATAGCTTGAAATTTAAACAAACATTATGTTCAGCTTCCTTAGGAAAAAAGATCTGGCAGTTTACTTCTGAAAAATTAGCTGTTTAAACCCACATGGAATATAATTCTGATGTTCCAGTAGTGAGAATTAGTCCATGGCAACTACAGAAATACCCTTACCCTTCCAATTTTTCTCTGAATTCAGAGAAATCCTTCTTTTAGCTATTATTTTCATATGCTCTTCTTTTCCCATTCTGTATTTGTGCTTTTTTCCAGTTTGGAAATATGTGTTGGTTTTTTTTATGTTTCCCTCTCTCATATTACCTTAGTTATTTTAACATAACTCTTATTTCACCTTTTTTCAGAGAATACAGTGTTTTGGGATCTTATCATTAAAAGGGATATTATATAATGTACAGAATTCTAGAGTTTAATATTAGACTATTCTTCCTCATTTCCTGTAAACTTTAAAGTAGAAGATGTATGCCCCTAGAGTCTGGCAGAGACTTATAGATTAAAAGATTGGTGACATGTTTTGATTCTTCTCCACTCCCTGCACAGTGTACTACACATAGCATTCAATGAATTACTAGAAAGTCACATCTGGATTTAAAAAACAGCCTTTATTGGCCTCAGAAGGCACATCATGCCTCTACTCCATCACTTTTCTATGCAAGAGTAACTTGCATTCCAACGCTGCATGTTAGTTTTAATTCTAATTTTTTTTTTAAATTAACTTATTTTTTTAGGGTAGAAAAATTGAGATAGTACAAGACTCTGTACTAGTACTCTATTTGCTTGTTAGAAGCATTTTTGATTATTGTACATGTAACGGTGGACCAGTGTTGGTGATTAATTATTATTGACTGGAGTTTAATGGAAGGTAGATTCTTTTGGATAGTAGTAAGATTTTTAAAGTTGAGTTTGTACGTAAGTGTAACTTTTAGAACTGATGTCTTGGCGAAAATAAGAGTTTTTTTTTAATAGCTGTGATAAAAATTAGAAAAGTAACCGTTGCTTTTTATATTAACATAGACATTTAACATTGATGTACGGCAACTGCATTGGGCTGAGTATATAGAGAACTACTGCATGGGAACTAAAAAATATGTATTGAATGAAGAAATGTCTGGCCTCCCTGCAGCTAGAAAACATCTAAACAAGTGAGTTTTTCAAAGGTTTAATTTCTCCTTATGAAACAACAGACAATTTTTTAAAGTAGATAAGCATAGTGAATGAAAGATACTGTTAATCTTTTGTGTTTAGGAAAAGAATTTACTTTGTACTTGAAATGTAGTAGCATGTATTTTAGCCCAAGATTGTTGAAATTTAATATCTCCATCAAATTACACTATTTAGCTTGAAGGTCAAGTAGAATTTAGCTTTGCAAATCACTGTTACCCTCCCACCCTTCCTTACACAAGAAAAGAAAAATATTTTTTAAACTGGAGGTAGTTTATTTAAATTTTTTTTAATTTTCAAATACATTTTTTAAAGAGATTAAGCAATAACAGTATATCCTTTAGCATAGAATTTAACTTTATCTTAGAGGTATTCTAAAAATTTAATTTTTTATTGATTGGCATACAGAATTCATATGGATTGAGTTTCATTTATGTACATTGTATTCACGAATTCCTTCAATCACATTGTGTTTCATAAAATCATTCCCATACATTGTGTTCTATAAAATGGTCTTTGCCTGCTGTCCCTCTGTCTTTTCAGATCACTATTGGATCTTTTCTTCTTCCTCTTCCTCCAACTGCCCACCAAGCTCTGCAGCGCTGTGATTTCCCCTTCCTCGCTCTCAGTCTCACTGCCCCCTTTCCTTTCCCCTTTTGGACTTTTTACACATCTTACTAGTCATCCTATTTTTACAATAATATTTGTCCTTATGAGACAGAGTTAGTTCACCAGCATAATGCTCTCTAGCCTCTCCCATGCTTATATAGTAATTTATGAAATGAATCTGTTAACCTTTTTAGTAAAAGAATTTCTATATTCTAATTGTAAAAAAACTCAGAAGATAGAGGAAGAAAAATCAATAATCCATCATTTAGAGATGCATAGAACCGTAATAGTAATCTCTATTATTTGTATAGCTTTTTTAATAGCTTTTTAAATACAGTTTTAATAAAATATTGTAGAACTATCACATTATTATCTTTCCTCATATTGTACAAATCCATGAGGATTTGCAGGACAGTCAGTTTTCCAGAGAAGGAGACAAACCATCGAAGTTGTCTTTTCCTAGGTAATATCCTAGTAAGTGGCGAAACAAATTAGAAGACTGATCTTTTAGCTCCTAATTAAAAAATCTTTTCTGTACCTCATTTGTTGCTATCTTGAATACTTCTGCCAAGAACTGTTTCGACCTAGGATGCATCTGTTCACCACTCTCAAAATCCTTTCACCATTTGTAGAGCAGGAGGGTAGTGCAAATGCCTACTGAAGTTAATGGAATTTATATAATGTTATTACATATCTTGAGGGTTTATATTCTTTTTAAATACCATCAGAAGTATTTGGAACATAGCAGAGTAATTAGGTACTCTGTAAGAATGAGAATATATTTCTTTACAGAGCTAATGCCATGTCCATTCTTAGATGAAGACTTGTCCAATTATCCTGTAACTCTTTCCTGACACTGAAGAAGTCCTTCTCTTATCTAATAGCTAGTAAACAGCAAAGGATGCCAAAAATGTTTGCTGTCTTTTGTTTGTATTGTGGTGTATATAATGAATAAACTTGTCGATTAGATGCGATGCTCTAAAAGTTTGAGGGACTACCTGGTTTACTAATAAAATGCATGATTACTGTCATGGTACTGTCATACTACTAGACATAAAAAGGATGGCTTCATATTTGTTGAATGAATAAGTTTACATACCTTAAATTCTATTATGAAAGATTGTGAAATTCATCATTCGTTTAGGTTTACTTGGCATTTGCCAATTTTATAACTTACAGAACTCTAATTTTTTTATAAGGTTCAAATTAACATAAATTTGAACTTTGATTAGATTAAAAACTAAGCATTAATTAGCTGACATCCAGTAATACAGTATTCTAGAAAATAACTGTCTGACATGTTTCTTCATTTGCTTTTCAGATTGAGGAACATACGTTATGGTTTTAATACTGTCCTTGTAATTCTGATCTGGCGCATTTTTATTGCAAGATCACAAATGGCAAGAAACATCTGGTACTTTGTGGTTAGTCTATGTTACAAGTTTCTGTCATACTTCCGAGCATCCAGCACTATGAGATACTGAAGACAAGAATTTAGCATTAGAACATCTATGCATATGGTGATCTAAATGCACAAAATGTAAAATGTACTTATGTCATCTCACCTTTTGTCAAGTCATTAAACCATCTTAGATCAATGTGGAGTAAATTATGGTACATTTTATGTAACATTTTAATGTTTTGGTTGATAAGATTCTAGTTAACACACTGTGGTATGCCAGCCCAAATCTATAATGGCCACCAAAAGAGTAACTTTTAACATTTTGATCCCTAGGGAATGGGTGGGTTGAGGGTAGGAGTGGGAAATAGGAACACTGACCAGTATAACTGTGCAATCCTGGAACCTATTAATTAAAATATGCCTTAAACATATAGTGAATTTCTAATTCTAACATTCAGTGCCGTGGAAAGCATCTATTTGGACAGGAATACTTCACTAAGCTATGTTGGTAGGTAATTTGATACATCATTATTTTCTGTCCATAAGTTGAAGTGGGTTTTAATTTTGTTAAAATTATAGCTAAACTATTTCCACATTATCCTGTTATTGAATGGTCCCAAACATGAAGACGTTTTCTTTTCTTATTAAAAGTCTGATTAAATAATTAAGGATCATTTTTTTATAAGCAACTAATTGCTTTCATAGTTAGAAGACTATATGTTATTCTGAAAGACCATACTGGATCTAAATATGTTTGAAAATCCATATCAACAAGGTACATGTTTTTTGAAGGAAATGAAAAATTTAATAAAATTGTTAGTATTAAAAATAATAGAAACATGGTTTTTTTTGTCCTCATGGTCAAATAAAAATTGAGAGATTTTGTTCATATTTTGAAGCAGAAGAATTTAATTTTGATTGAGGGTCAGAAAGGGATTCACCATACGTTTGCTCACCTTTTATAAATTTTATCCGTAATACTTTAAAAAGACTTGTACTGTCTTTCCAATGAAAACTGAAAGTGCATTATTATGGAAGAATGTATCTGCAGATAGTAATAAGAAAATGTTCTCACATGTGTATAGACACATACTGATTTTTAATTTTGCAAGTGGAATTTCTTCAAGAATAATGTGTATAAAATGAAATAAAGGACTTTATTTACATACCACATAAAATAGCAAACTATTGAATGAGTTTGAAGATACCATCTAGTTTTCTGCATGTGGTTTTAGCTTTAGAAAGAAATGCATTATAGAAACAAGTAATAGCAAGAAAATTGTATATTTTAAAGATACATAATAATTCCCTTTAAATCTTACTGGTAGTTAATTCTACTTACTGTTTTAACATACATTTGATTTAACAGGTTTTTCAGCATAATACTGTTCTAATTAAGCTGATCAAATTGTACTATATTGAAATTGTCAGCCATATATCTTTAATATATTTGAAGAGGTCAGTTCACAATATAAAAGTTACGTAAAACTTTACATCTAAATTTTCTTTGTCAATTTAAATGAAGTGTATAAAAAGTTTATTTTGTTACTGTGGAGAAACACGTAAAGGAATCACCTTCTTGCAGGTGTATAATCTTGAAAAGGATAAATGCTTCCATGTTGAAGCTAGATTTTTCTGTAGTAAAACTTTTAAACATTATTTTAAAGAAAAAATGTATATAAATATAAATATAAATATATATATCTGTTCTTTGAAATGATACTAAAGTCTCTGGTCTAGGACCATACCTTGTGTAAGGTGTGAGAGACCATGAAAATGTTAAAATATGGAATAAATGATGCCTTTGATTTAAAATGGCCCACGTAGTTAACTATAGATGTTCGATACCATAATTTGTTGCAAATATGCTTTTGTATGATTTTTATACTCTTGCCAAATATACTTCAAAATTTATCTTTGTATCTTGCAGAAACATCAGGTACAACTTTGGCAGGTTGGGAAGTGTATAGAGCATATATTCTGATAATCTAACTTTTAGAGAAATGCCACTGGGGAGAAGCTAAAGCCACTGCATTAATTTTATAGACTTATTTGTTTAGAATTTTGTTGTGAAAGAAAATTAATGAAGAATTATCTGGAACTTAAAGTTCTAAATCTATTCTAAAAATATCTACAACATTGTTCCTTACCAAGTATAGTTTGAGCTGAAATCAGAATGTAAGGTTTTGCAAATCACTTCCTTTAGATTTAACTTTTAGTTTCGTGCTTGATTATATCTTCTACACAAATTAACAAGATAGCGTAGTAAATAAATTTAGTATTTCATATAACTTGTTAAAGCAGTGCTTCAAAATGTTGGTCTTTCCTCTCCTGTTCATTAATAACTCTTAAAATTCTGGCATACACCTTTGTCAATTGTGAGGTCATTGTGACTATATTTAAATTTGAATCGGCACCATTAATACGTCCTAACACTCAATATAGAGAAGGATAGCAAGATGCTCACTTACTTAAGGGTGGTGTATAATATGCATTTTTAATTTGTATAACAAAGCTTGAAAATAGGGGTTTAAAAGTTTTAATTCTCCCTGTTTCTGTGTGTGTCTGCAGAAACTGGTTTAGGAATTTTGTTTTTGTTTGTTATTGTAAATTGATAAATTTTTATGAGAATTAATTAGAAGCATTATTGGGTGCCTTTGTTTGTAAACCAAAAAGGAATAAATGAATCCCTATATTTCCATTATAGTATTTATTGTATTTTTACATGAAAATCATCCCTGAGATAATGTAGCTAATTAGAAGCAATCCTCATATATACTTTGTGTCTTTTTTAAGTGTGTTTGATAATTCTTGTGTCTAAATTTATTTCACCTTCACCCTTTTTAAAAAAAAAAAAAGAAGTAATTTTATTCTACATACTTTTTTATCCAGCTAGATGTTGTCTTGGGGCGTGGGTATAGGAAGCGCTACATTCTCTGACTCTCTTAAACAATATTTTAGAGGGAACATATAAGCAGGATGAACACTTCATTAAGTATTTTTGTTAATTAGCTGAAATGAGCTATTCTTTTTCCTAGATATATTACCAGGAGACTTCACAAGTGTCATTAAGCTTCAGTTGCTGTCCTTTACGTATAGTCACTTATCTATCTACTGGATACGCTACCTAGATTCATTCGTTAGGAATAGGCATTAAGTGAATCTTGCTTAGAGGTGGGATACTAAGCTGAGGTGCAGCTAAATGTTAATGACTTGTGAGCATTCTCCTCTAGGTTGACTCCAGGCCCTCATTTAAAACCATAGTACTGAATTGGATGCATAATAAGTTCTTGATCTGCTTTATACAAACTTTTTTAACTTTCACATGAGAAACTAGAATAAGGAATAGAAAAGAATAGCTGTGTATACTTCATTGGTCGTTGTAGAAATGAGATTATTAAATAGTTTCTTATGAAAGAAATAGAAACGGTTTCTTATTTGGGGAGACAAATATCACAGAAAAGACCTACAGTGCTTTTAATCTTGAGTGGTGATAAAGGAAGAAAAAGATTTTTTAAATTTATAGAAATATCCAGAGTCTAGTTATTATCTTAGAAATATTAAGATTGTCCTCTACATATTTGACTCAGTTTTCCTTGTACAGCTACATAAATTTGGATTAGGTGTCTGTCCTCCAAAGATACCTTAGAGGTAGAATTCCTTCATTTTCTACTCGTACACAGAGACTGTAATAATTTTCTCTCTTATAAATCTCTAGAGAGCTTTCCTTTCATTTGCCAGCAAGCTATATGTAGAAAGTGCTAGGTTGAATGATATAAAAATGCTAGTAATTTTATTGACATTTAGCTATAAAATAGTTTTTGTATGATTCAACTTAGTATTAAAGTCACTTACAGAGGTTTTTCTTTGGTAACTTTTTTTTTTTAAGAAGCAAACTTAAACATATTAGGTAGGTGTACATTTCTTCAAATTGTTGAGATGTAATGATGTCAGTTTGAGGACCAATGTGTGTCTGATTCAAGCCATGGTATTTCTGATTACTTACTATTCATCTAATAGCTGCAGTTAATAAGGATGACAGAAAAATAACTGATGCCTTTAAGCTGTGGCGTTGGAAAAGAGAATTGAACATCCCATGGACGCCAGAAGAACAAACAGATATGTCTTGGAGAGGGTGCAGCCAGAGTGCTCTTTGGAGGCAAGAATGATGAGACTTTGTCTCACATACTTTGGGCATGTTGTTAGGAGGGGCTATTCCTTCGAAAAGGACATGATGCTGGGATGGGTGGAGGGTCACCAAGGAGAGGAAGACCCTCGACCAGATGGATTGACACAGTGACTGCCACAGTACTGTGTCAGGAAGTGTGAGGATGGCACAGGATAGAACAGGGTTCAGATCTTTTATTAATAGGGTCTATATATGAGTTGCAAGTGACTCAGTGGCACATAACATTTCTTCAGAAGAGGCATCTGGGATATATTTCTTTTATTGGTATGTAGTTATTTGACACTAACCATTTGTCACTATGGGCAAAGAGGAAAGCAGTGCCTTCCTGTTAATGGTTTACAGCCTCAAAAACCCATTGGAAGGTCATTGTGAGTCAGAACAGGTACGACTAAAGTTTTTTTAACTTTAACACTTGTAGAGCACACACACTGTGCCAGGAACAGTTCATACCTTACAGGTAATATTAAACTATTTACCCCTTACAGTAGTAACTCTGAAGAGTGTACCTCTATTACCTATGTATTATGGCTGTGTTACCTATGGCTTTTAAGGTAATAACTTACTCCAGCATGTTATATTACTAATAGAGCTAACATTTGAGCTTAAGTAGTCTAACCACAAAGCCTGCATATTTGTTTACTACATTGTCTCTTTCACTGTGTTGCTAGTGTTAGATGCTGATGAGTTAACTCTTGTTGAATTGAGGGGACATGCAACAGACCAAAACATTCTTGGTTTCGGTCCAATCTGGTGGTATCTTCACATTCTCGATTCCATGTCACTAAAGGTCGTCTTCTCCTTCCTTGACTTATATCCCTTCTAAGAACTGGTCTCTCCTGATTACATACTCAAAGTATGTGAGACAGCATCTCACCATCCTTGGATCTAAAGATCAGCGTGGCTGCACTTCTTAGACAAATAAGTTTCTTCTTTTGGCAGTCTGTGGTGTGTTCAGTATTCTCTCCCATTACTATAAAAACTTCAGCTCTTCTTCAATCTTTATTC